ATCAGTTGAATGTCTACCATGCAGAGAAGCTTTGAAATATAGAAAAATGCTTTCAAAGTGGCATAGTACAATATATTGTTACTTACATACATGCAAACTATCACATCATGAAGAGACGGTATGATCTAGGCTGTAGAATAAATATGATGTATACATCCTTTGTTGTTGTAGGCTTGGACACCCTAGTCAATTGAGATCCCATAAAAACCAAATAGCAGCCAATGTTTAAAACTGAAATCAGGGGAATTCCTATAACTAATTTCAGAACGATTCCATTTGCTATTGGTCCTGCAGGTCTGAGTAAAAATTATCCTTCAAAAATCGCCGTTCTTTTTTATGGTAACAGCTAAACGTTGTGTTTGGTTTGGGCAGAATTTTGTACAGTCATCGGGTAAACGGTATGTTAAATGTGTACCACATTTAATAACAATCAAGGTTTGGGAAGTATGTTTTTTAAATTTTTAGAAATTCCGTACAATTGTATGCAAAGAAGACGAAGAAAATTAGACTAATTTTGGCATCGCGTATCTCAGCTTTGCCTGCATGGATTTACTTGAAATTTAGAATGTGAGGTAAGCAAACTGGAAGGCAATATAGGTGAAAAATTCATGGAGGGAGTAGTAACTTACAGATAACCGAAAATTGCAATTCGTTGGTTCCTGTAAATAGCACACTGTGTGCTGCACTCTCAAGTTCTTTTTTTCTTGGCTGCAGATACACTACTATGTATCTCGATCTGTTTACATAGCACAATGTATTTTTATAGGGAGTATTGTTCATATATCTGTTTTACATACAAGTGTTACATCCATTTCTTCAATAAGACGTGTCCAGCTATTTGATTACTTGAAGTTTTTGTGTTATAGGTTCCACAAGTATTTAAAGTTCATGCTAATCAGTTGCTGGTGGTAGTCCAAAGCTTGCAGTGTTTCAAATCACATGTGCTTTGAGTGGGAGATGGGAGCCATGCTGGACTAAATGTTATATGCTTTCATTCACTGTAGCCTAGCTTTGCCATTTTTTGTTGTTTGTTTGTTTATTTCATAAAGATCCACTTACCTTTAGAAGAAAATTTTCCAGGAAGATTTAAGTGATGACTGAAATTGTCTAAGCTTCTTATAAATTGCTGTTGTATTATATCTGCCATAACCTGATGAGACCCTTCACACAATACCAGGGCTTTTCAGGCAGGCTGGGATACAACAGACATAGTAGTGTTTGAAACATTATTTACAGTAACAAATCACTTGACAGAAACTTTTACTTTGTGAATTGGATTACATTGGTGAAGTGTGATTTTTCATCAGTTTTATTTGTGTCACACCAGAATTAGGGAAGGATTTTAAATCTATATTACACTATAAAGTATTAATTACTAGCATATAGCCCATCAAAAATGATGGGGCAAGTACTACCACCCCCACCCCATAGTATACCCTAACATCACATTTCATGTCTAACTGAAATAAATAAATTTTGCGAAATCAAGCTTGACCAACGAAGAGGCAGAAAAGTGCAGTCGAGGCAGTCAAATGTTGGTAAATTCCTTTGTGAGCCAGTCAACATTAAGATCATTCATGAAATGAATTTGTGGCATATTAATAGAATAATTATTGGTAAAAATCAGTTAGATTAACAACTTCTAGTATACAGAAATGCCAGTGATATTGTTGTTAGTCTATGTACTGAAAGTATAAAATGAAATGTATAGACAAAAAATATTTGTTAATTTCTTAATTTAGAGTCTTAAAGAGGTTTGTTTATTATTAAAAATGTTGGTGATATAACAGAAAATAGCTTAATCAGAAAAGATTTAAGTTTAAAATTGAATCAATATTTTTTACTTTCATGAACGTGAGAATATTGCATTATCACATTAATAAGATCTTCTGAGTGGAAGTAAAGAAGATGGCATAATTCTATGTCAACCACACTATATCTGCTATATTCAGTGCTGATCTGGCCTTTTATTTAATACCAGGGATCTTCAGGCTGGTTGGGATATGACAGACAGATGTAGTGGTTCAGACACTATTTACAGTAGCAAATCAGTTGACAACAACTGTTATGATGTGTGTAGTCTTTATTAATTTAATTATAGATTCATCACTGATCTGGTCCTGTTATGTTTACTCAAGAAATAATGATTTTTTTTTCTTATAGTCTCTAGGGCATGCTCTAAGAACTGAACTTTTAAAAATATTAAGCTGAAAGCTTTGACACTATATATTTCAATACTGTCACATTGATTTTAATGCAGTAGAATAAAGAGGCAATACATAGCAAAGCTGTTTGGTTGAGTGATCATTAAAGGACATAACAACCTTTATTTTGTTTAATTAATAGTCTCTTAAACTTTTAGTATACATGTTTTTAATGTTTGCCTACTTAATTATATATATATATATATATATATATAAACTAGCAAGCAATTCCTAATTAGGAGCATAGTTTTTATAAAATAAGTATTTTAAAAGATCTAATTGGAACTTTTTTTGATGATTAATGACATTTTTTTATGGTGTTATGTTTAGTGTGCAATTTTTTTTACTGTTCTTTAGTTAACACTTTTCCACACTGTGTTCCCTTTTCACAAAATAATAGAAATGTTTGTTTCAGGCAAATGCTGTACTTAACCACTTTACAGTCATTACTATCGACAGAACTTGCAAAAGCTACAGAGAAAATAGCCTTATTGAGCTGAGGAACTAGTGCTTGTATTGCACAACATAGGATGCTACCATCTTTTGTGTGAGAATTTGGATGGGGATATGGGATTTACTATCTCATAGCCTGAAAACTAGTGCAAATTTGGCCACACTGGTGGGTAATTCAGATTCCAGGTATTACAAGGAGCTCAAATCTATATTCAAAATTTAAAAAAGAGAGAGAATATTGAAAATCTTTATTTGGGAATCAATTTACCAAACATGTGTCCCTGACTCGCAGACTCGGTGTTAAAAATATAAAATGGGTTGCATTTTTGTAACTATATGATGCTAAAACAGAAATATGATGCAAAAATTAATGTTACACTTATAAGTCAGAGATTTTCAAATTTTGAATCATCTTAACATAAGTGCACGTAACATTGTGAATTTTAAAGAGACCAGTTTATGCTAAATTAGCTGCATGCTGCACAGTTGAGTAAATTTATGATTATACAACAGGGTCATAGATAGAAGTCTATAAAGAACTGCTACACTTGGAAAAAAAAACATGAGTAAAGAAGCCATACCGTTGGATCTGAATGCATGCACTTTTGGAATAATTTGTACTTATCACTGAAAATGGTGCATTTTGATGGTATCTGAGGTCTTTTCTACACATTTTAAGTATATTTTACACATATATGGGTGCATACAATACTCATATTCATTAATTGTAAATGTAAATTTAGTCACTGAGATAATAAATGTCAATTTGTGTATGTTTTCTACGGAAATATGTATTTTACTTTTTATGTCAGTCTAATGTAATCTTTTAATTATGTGAACTTTGCTATAAAGCTGCTTCCATTTTTACAACCAATAGAGACTATGTCAAGAGAGAATTCTTTGAACACAGTAGAACAGTCATTAAGATGAGTTTAATCTTCTTTTTTTTTTTTTATGTCTTGGCATATGAATTTTTTGTTAATGCTCAGAACACCATAAAATGTTTGCTTTTATTGATCACTGTTGCTAATGTATGTTCAGTTAATAAGCAGTTAGTTTGGTTTGTGCTAGAGACATGTATCAGTGTTAGGATAGAATATTTAAACTTGGTTGTTGGTGACTCTAATGAGTGGTTGAGTATGAAAAATATTGTCATGTGCAGTAAAGTAATTTTTTATTTCTTTGTTTTTCACAGCATCAGCAACATACCAGATCATAAATGTACTTGCTTGTTTGGTAATTGCTGCAGATGTAAATCAATTTGCATTTATGAGACTGCTATGAGGTTGTTTGTTATCGAGGTGTTTATGTGTTTAATTTTAATGTGGACATTCATACTATCAAAGAATCAATGTTTTTCTCAAGAAGACTTCCATAATTTTACAGGTTTATTAGCCTTTAAAATACATATCTTGCATTGTTATGCTGCAGAAGTTGTTGCATTGTTGACAAAAGTATCTACCAAAACTTATTTATAGTATCAGAAAGATAATAGAAGACGTTTAAAAATAGAAATTTTAAACAATACATACTTAGGCAAATAAGAATACAGGTGCAGTACGTTTATGATTTGAAGTAGATCAATAACCTAACTCATTAATAATTGAAATTTATACTGTTCTTTGTTAATTTGTATATGTAAAGAACAATGTTAACTTGTACAAGAACAGAAATAGATAATAGTTTATCAATGCATAGTTATTAACCTAACAGTATTCTATTTATCAAATGCCTAAGTCTAAGCTGAATCAGTGTTATCTATCATTGTTTTCATATGAAGTGTATGGATGAAAGATGTCAGTCAAATTAGATAATGATATATTTAAGAAACAACAGTAGGTTAAACTAGATTGTTACTATACTTTTAAGAAACAGTAGGTTAATCTGGATGTTACCGTATACTTAAGAAACAACAGCAGGTTAAACTGAAGTGTTACTGTACTTTTAAACGAAAGCATTGGGAAAAACTGGATCACTATTATATATTTAGCAAAAATCAGTGGGAAGAATGGGCTGATACTGTACATGTGGAAAAATAGCATTGAGTAAAATAGAATTGCTACTATGTTTTAAAGAAGCAGCAATGGGTAAACCTAGCTTCTTGTTATATATATTTTTTTGCATCTTATATAAATGTAATTACATTAGAAGGAACAATGTCCTAATTTTTTCTCCTGAAGTTTTCTGTGTGAAGCAAGTGGAATTTCTCTCTCTCTTGCTTACTTAAAGTTTTTATATTTAGGTCTTTCATTGTACATTGAAATACAAAAATGATTTTTGGCCTTATTTGACATTAGCTTATTGGTACAAAGCAACACATAAAATTTGTTATTTTTTTCACAGTACAAGGCAACAGGAAATGTTCTGTTTGACCAAGCTTGTAAGATGCTCAACCTGTTGGAAGTAGATTATTTTGGTTTGGAGTATGCAGACTCCAATAATACAAAGGTATGTGAATGTTACTTTGAGCTTGTGTTTTTTCACCATGTTTGAAAAAAAGTACTATTTTAAAAAACATATGGCATATGCATTTGTTGGGAAGGTTTGTAGATCAATAGGAAGATAAGTATAGAGATGCAAGTGCTCTGCTAATTGTAATCTTTAAAATACATTTTGAGGAAATATCAGTTGTATCACTGGTTACAATATAAACTGTTCATTTTATGCCTGAAAGCAATTTTAATGGGTCTTGCAAGTTGCATCAGAGACAGAGTTATCCAGCTAATCACAATGTTTTTAAAATTTTAATAAGTAGTTAAAAGAATTATACAGTATAGATTACATTTTCATTAAGATATTCTCACAACCAGCATTTCTTTAACTTTGCTTCTACAAAATGTGAATTTCAAAAGTAATGTATATATATACTGTATGCAGAACATGCTGATTGGTTTTATAATTACAAACAGTTATTGCTCATATGTTAACTATTTATTGCAATGGACATAATGAAGAAAGTTACTGGTATATTGTTGTTGTTTTTAAAACAGAAATCACCTTTAGCATTTAAAGTCCACTTAAACATTACAAACACTGTATGCGTGTATAATATTTGAACATAAAAGTTTTGGTAAATTATTTCAAGTAATTTTAACAATTAAGGAAATAATTGTAATTTAACACAAAGTTCTTCATGTTAGTGTTTTTGTAATAGAAAATGACATTAATTCTTCCATCATTCACCACTGTCAGATTATTTTCATTGGTGGAAAGCTGCAAGAAGGCTTAAAGTAACCTAAGAGATTACAGTATTAAATGTGATCTAGGGGACCTTAGTCATTATTAAGGTCTGAGGTTTTGTTATAATTTCAAATAAGCTTTTGCTCACTTGTTATACACATTTTAGGTCCAATCATTCCTTTTTGAATACTTGTCATTAACTTGTTTTTAAAGTCTTAAAAGTTTAAATAGGCTGCATTCTGGCACAGTATAAAGAAATAAATTGTATGTTTTTGCACTATAAAAAAAGTTTTAAAATGCAAACAATCATAAGCTTTAGCATTAATATATTTTAAAATAATGTTCAATCATCATATGTGAAAACTAAATTATGTCTGTTAGGAAATTTTTTTAAAGTGATTTATGGATAGCGAATGATTTCCTTTCATTGTTTTTTGAAAAGCATTTATGAGATTACTGTTGTGAAAATTGTGAATGATCCTAAGGAATCGATGTATTTTATAAAATGACACATTGCAAAGCTACATCATGCTCTGGCACAAGTTTCAATTAGTATAATAGTCTTAAAACCCAAGTTCAGCCCTTGAAAATATCTAAACCTATACGTACATTTTAAAATAACTTTTTTATACCAATATTTTTGAATCTTTTATAAATTAAAATCCATAAGAAAGTTTTATTCTAAACAAGCAGAAGTACTCACTGGAAAAATTTAAGTTAATCTATCAATTTAAGTTATTTCATGGACTTTAAAAAGGTTAATTGTGTTGCACTCTTGGTTTCACTCTTAGTCAAAATTCTGAGCTACTTATACTTCCCACTGCAAAAAGTAATTGTTCAACATTTCGATTGTGCTAAGGTCCACTCAACAATAACATATGGTACATGTACATTTTTATTCTTTAAGTTGCATCATATTTTGAAATGTGAATGATAGTGTGATTAATTCCTAACAGTTTAATGTAGAATATCCTGCTTGTGAAATAAAATTTGTCATCAACATTATTCATGCCTGTTTATCTGTCATTTCAAAAGTGAATGTTGAGTTTTGCCTGCATGTGCAAATTTTCAAGCAGGAGTCAGATGAATGCTTGGATAGACACCATGGTTTGCAATATATATAAGATGTAATAGTAAAAATTGGCTGCACAATTATACATCTGTGTAGTGCTGTAAATTGCTCCAAGTTATTATGTTTTGTATCTTCTTGATGAAGTTTATCAGACACTAAGCCACAAGATGCTGAGATTTTCAGGACAAAACTTGTGACAAAAGATAAAGGATTACAGAATTTAATATCAAAATACGGTATTGCAGATTGTTTTCACTACTACTGAAATATGAATTGGCTAACTGAGAATTTAAAAAAACTCTAATTCTTCAGACCTTCTACCTGTATTATTCAAAATAAATTTGAGTTACAATTCTGTAAAAACTTTAAATAGTTTGTTTACTTTTACTTGCTCTTGCTTTTTATATCATGAGCAGTCTTAAATACTATATCTCTAAAAATCATAATAAATAGGATAATTAGATTACATCAGTAGATACTTAATGTATCTTTTAAAATTATATATTTATATTATATAATTTTACATTCTCATTGAAACTTGAAAAGGCTCTTAATCAATTCAAAAGTATAATATCAAAAATATTTTTTCTTTCTCCCAATGCAGAACAAATGATTTTTAATAATAATAATTTTTTGGTACTAAGTTTTAATAGTGTGTAACATGTATGTGATAGAGACTAGTAAAGTATATACATTTGTGAAATCTTTTCACAAAACCCAACATGTTTCAGAAAATGTTATAAATTTGTACTATATTAGCTTGTTTGTCAAATGTACACTGTTAGGTATCCTTGTAACCTCCAAAAGTAAGAAGTTTTCAGTTGTCAATCACTCTTAAAGTGTTATCCCTAATGTTTTTTTTTATGAAATAAGTATAGCAGTTTTATAATTTTTTTAACTTGACAAATGTAATAATTTTGCTCATATAAGTGTAGTGGATGGAGTTAATACACACCTGTATACACAAACATACATTTATTTCCTAAACTTCACAAGCTCACTGATTGTATTTTTTTAAGTTTAAACTATACTGAATGTGCACTAAGATAAAATCAAACCTAGTAATTATAATTCTTTTAGATAGTTTCTTTATTGCCAATTTCGTAGTATTGTCTGGACTATAGAATGTACATTGTAAATAGAACTTTTTTACAGGTTTTTGTTTTATGGTTGATTTATTAAAGTTTTATTCTAAACTTGTTTTACTAAGTTGTGGTCTCAATTTATTAATTAAAAAGGTCTCTCTTTTTCTTTTTTTTTATTGCAAACTATTTTCATCATTTCCCTTCACAAAAATCTTAAAGAAATTGTGATAAATTACAATTTAATGTTTTTCAGAGTGTGATTACATATACTTGATTTGTTATTAGTTATCAAATCTGCATGTTTCTAGCCACATAACAGTTGACCCAAAATACCTAGAATCACATCTAAGATATTGAAATTCATACACAGTGTTAGTTGTTTCAAATATGATATTTTATCTTTGAATGTACAAAAACACTATAACCTAAATTTAGGTTTAGAGATAAATTAGTATCTGGATAAATTCTGTGAAAAACTTTACATGACTTTTTTCACAATAAACACATTTTCAAATGTATGGCAGTGTTATTAAACAGGTTTAGGCACATTCCATTTTAATTGTTTAGGATTTTTAACATTACTCAAACAATCATATATGATGTTGTCAACCATGTTGTTTGAAAAGCCATTTTTTGTTTAAAAAGGCTTATGGTTTCAAATTATTTATGAAAATAGCTATACATGTCAGTGAGTTTATAAGGACAGTGAATTAATCACATGATCAAATTTATTTTAAACAAATCTGGAATGAACTGTCAAAATTAAGATATAAGCTAGTAAATGTTTTTTTTTGGATACTTCATATCTAAACTTGCCATTATCATGTATTAGTGTATCCAGAAAAGCAAGTTGGTGTTCTGCAGTGAATTTTATGTTGATGGTTAGGATACCTCAAAAACTGGTCAACATGTTTAGATTAAGAGTGTTAGAATATAATTAACTTCCTTACATTGTTGCCTGTATTCATGTTCTTTTTTTTTATTTAGTTTGTATACTATGATTTACTCTATTTATGCATTTTGTATACTGAATTATTATTATTGTTATTTTTATGTTACTTCCCTTAGCTCATTTGTAGCTTAGGAACTTGTTCTCGAGGCTTTAAGCTGCGTGTTACTTGTCTTTTTCTCTTTCACCCTAACCCTTCTATTAACAGTTTCATTCTCACTTTGTTTTCTTGTTTTATCAATAAAATTATTTTAATTTACCGAGTTTTTCATCATAACTTTATATTCTATTTTGCATTTTATTACTAGATTAAGAGTGTTGTCAACATACCTCCAATAATACGTAGGCTTGAAAACCAAGGTTTTAAGTTTCTACAAATAATTCAATAATTTAATGTTTCTAGTTTTTGTAGTATCTGTTTTAAACTTGGCATATTTTGTTGTATCATTCAAAATATTTTTAATTTTAGGATTATAATCTACTTGATTCAAAATTACTATATCAGTTCCCTCATTGTATTCTTTATAATTATTTTATTATTTCTACTACAATTTTTTAAAGTTATTATTCCTTTTTTACAAAAGTTAGCAGGTTTAAATCCAGAATTACAATTATTAAAAAATACACCAATCCAACTTATTTGAGTTCTGATATCATCAAGTGGTTAATAGCTACCAGACTGTATTCTGTTTTGAAACTTGTAATAATTGTTCAAATGGTAAAGAAAAATTTCAAATTTTAGTGTCTAAATAGGAGTAGCAAATTTTAAATTATGTACTAATAATAGTTTCTTTTCTGCTTCACTCAAGATATAATCAGGAAAGTGGACTATTACATTATTAGGATTATTAATGAAAGCATTATTTCTCTAATACCTTCTCAGTTGGTTAAGTGTATCCAAATTATTTTGTCTGTTTTTGATTATTATTTTATTATTTTTTTTGTATTCATAAAGTCAAAATAAACTAACTTCTTTTAGATCTGAACAAGACTCTTCAACTTGTTTTTCAGTCTTCCAATTTCTAATTTTATTCTATTTCAAAATTCAGTAGTTGTTTTTAATTTGTTGATATTTTTAGATGGTAAAATGGTATAAAAATTCTTAAATAATGTAAAAATAATAATGTTACACCTCATTTTGTTAATCTTAAGGTATCCATAGATCATTTTTGCCAAAATAATATTTTAACTGAATCACAAATCATCAAGGATTAAACCCATAAATAAATAAAAGTATTAGGTTGTCAAGAAATTAATGAGTGAAGGGCTTTCTGATGAAGGGCTTGATTTACACATTCCAATTGCTGACTATAGATCTCTGCATTGACAGGTCGCTTTGGATTGAGGAATTCAAAATGAATTACTCTTATGATGTCCCACCCAATGCAAAGCATCACTTTCTTCGGATGGAGTCCAGGTTTTGGGGTCGGTAATGGTTTTTGTCTAGGACTGAGCCATTGTTTTTGGCGTTTAATATTCGCATAGAGAATCCATTTTTCATCACCGGTGACAATTCTGTCCAAAAGTGGTTAACACGCATTATGCACCAGAAGAGACGAAGCAACATTTGCACATTGGAAACAATGATCATCGGGGAGTTCGTGAGGCACCCAAACACCTTCTTTATGGAATTTCCTCATATTCCTTAGATATTTACGTATTGTTTCATGAGAGATATGCAATTTCAGGGCCATTTCTCGAGTGTGTTGCCTTGGGTTAGACTCAACAAGCGTCTTCAGAGCATCAATATCAATTTCAACATGTCGGCCCCTGCCATCACAGTTTTTAAGGCTAAAGTTACATGCACAAAATGTGCTGAACCATTGTTGACACTTACAAACATTTCCATAAACTTCTTT